AACCATCCAGGGTCACACAGGAGGGGGTAAACACCAGGGCTTTTTTCTTCTTTTTATTAATTTTCATGCCCCACCTTCCTCTCCTGCGGTGCGTGCTGAATTTTATTTTTATCGCGAGAAGGGTCCAGCTGTCCCTTTCCCTCGTCAATGGTGCTGACGTCGAAGTTTGGTACTCACGAGAGCTTTTTTGCTATGTTTCGCTTTCACCCGCAAATTTCGTAAATTTTTCACCCCATGGGGNGGGTCACACAGGAGGGGGTAAACACCAGGGCTTTTTTCTTCTTTTTATTAATTTTCATGCCCCACCTTCCTCTCCTGCGGTGCGTGCTGAATTTTATTTTTATCGCGAGAAGGGTCCAGCTGTCCCTTTCCCTCGTCAATGGTGCTGACGTCGAAGTTTGGTACTCACGAGAGCTTTTTTGCTATGTTTCGCTTTCACCCGCAAATTTCGTAAATTTTTCACCCCATGGGGATTCGAACTCATGACCTCTGCGACTGACGGATTACGAGGATACCACTAGACCACCGGGGCGACCGGAGTGAGGGGGTGTCAATAACGCCGGTTGGTTGGCGCCAGCGGCCCTGTGTAGCGCCGGTAAAACGGCTGGGCCCAGACTGCATCACCCCAGTCATTCTGTAGATTGAACAGCGCCGGCCCCTCTGCATAGCGCCGGTCGATGTGCCGGGCACATACAGGCGTTATTGAGGACCCCCCACTGTATTGTTAACTAAACACGACGTTGCCCGGCACCCCATTTGGTCGTGTGGGCCCGCCGTTTTCAGCAAGAAAAATGCTGTATGAAAAGAGGCTTGGATATCCACGAAAAATATGAAAATTGGGTGAAGAAACACAGCTTAGCCGATGATCCCATACTGAGGTCTACCTGAGAATATTTCAACCTATACTCGGCGGTGGTGGTTTCGAACTGCTGTATCTGTGGTTGTCCTCGTGAACCTACTAGCAGCGCGCGTTGTAGGTTCGAATTCTCTCTGGGGCGATCATTTTGAAACAAAGCATCGACAAGTCAACCTGTCTACGCCGCCGCGACGCCCCACGCTTGATCGAGGAAACAGCCTGAATTACCAGCTCTTCTTGGGGCTCGAGGTCGCTGGTCCCGGTGTGAGATCGTGAGCGTACTACGTGCTGTTGTCGTCGCTGGGAAATGACTTTGATTCACCGCACTTTTTTGTGAACATCACCACCGCACCCCCGTTTCTAGGTGTTTCCCCAGTCGATACCAGATGCCTGGCACTAACCCGGATTCCTCCGTCGCCCCTTCGTTCCGCGTCCCCCTTGCCCTCATGCGTGCCCTCATTTGCTCCGCTACTTTCTTGCTGCTCTTGCTGGTGGTGTGCCGCTGTTGCCGCAGAGAACCGGGATGAGTTCGTTGTGGTGGGGCTGAAGGGGGCGTCGGTTCGGAAGGAGTTGCGGTTGGATTCCCCGATTCTGAGGACTCTGCGACAAGGCACGGTGAGTGTACCTGAGCTAGCTCCGCGCCGCCACCACCTGCTGCACGAACAGATGTTGAACCTTATGACACAGCGGAGTAGTGGAAGACGCCACTATGTTGGAAATCCCCGCTATTGCAACGTTTTCGGCCAGTCCGCATGAGCGAAGATTGTCCTTCTCCCGTCCGTATATTCTTGCGGAGTCATAGAGAGCAGTTTTTTTTTCAGCTTTGTCCGTAAGTTGAATGTCTTGGAACATTTGAGATTGTGTACCAATGGTACTTGCACAGGGTCTGTAGGTAGTTCCTCGCACGACCCACGATGAATACTTCACTGCGAGTCTGCGGCGGGTTCCCGCACAAAGTATTGTACTCTCACTTTGGACGCGGAAAGGGAAGAAAGATGCTCTCGAAGACGGAGGGCGAAAATATCACCGACGGGGTGGCAAATGTCCCGAGGGCCACCCTGGAGACACACGACCCCCTACGGTCGCCTTTCTGCCATCGAAGAAACCGTTTCATCCCCGGTGGGAAGCTTGGAGTTCGTATACGGGTGGAAGTGCGACAACAACGGGTGTGTGGGGGCAACGGAGAAATACACTTTTTTGGGCTCGTCGTCCGTGTACGTCCCATCCAGGTTGTCTCTGTGTCCGAGGTGCGGCAAAGACGAGCGCACATCGTCAAGCCCGTGGACGGTTGGGCGAGCCTGAGCACGGAAGACGGGTACGGCATCATCGAGCCGACCAAGAGGTGCTCCAGATACAAGGCGAGGGAGTACAACACCTCTTTAGGGTTGCGAGAGGGGGGGGGGGAGGCGAAAGGAAGCGCCAGAGGCTTTTCTATCACC